CTTACCGAAGTTTATAGCACCAACTATAGCAAATCAATAATAGGTACTGTTTTTTGGCGCGTCGAGTTGGTTATATTTATAGGAGTGTGGAGAACTTCTCGAAAATTGATATTACGTAACAATACAAAGCTACACTAATGTTTACGTACACACATATATTGTTGATTCTTACACTCGAAAATCTTCTACAACTTTAGAGAATAGGCGGGAGTTTTGAAATACCTATTTAACAGTATACGTTATGTACATTTCTAAATATAGATTTCATTTAAACAAATATCGATATTAAAATAAATATAATATAATAATTCCGTCACAATTGAAAAATACAACTATATTGAAAATATACATATAAATTTGTAGCTTTTTCCAGTTATCAGTTTTCTGAGGGTAAAAGTATATGCTGTAGAATAGTTTGATTATAGTAAATTTTATTTCTTTAAGATTAAAGCGACAATCAAATTATTTCATAACTAAAGAATTTTAATTAATAAGTTGCTTTCAGGGGATGGTATCTTAATAAAGAAGTAAAAGCTTATTGATAATGATACAGAAGAAAAGTATCTATTTTTATTTTGTTAAAATAAACTAGTTTTCATTAGGGAGTTTGAGATTCTCTAACAACAGAAAATGCCTGGATGTTTTTGAATAATAAATTGATCATGGACAGGATAATAACCCTAATCAGTATATATTTCTTGATTATATATTTTCTCGGTTACTAAGAGCGTTTGTGTAAGCTATTACAAATGCAAACATACAGAATTTTGGACTATAATCAAGATATATGTTTCAATCGAAAATGATATCAAACTATTATGTTGTGTAATGCTATACATCATCTATAGTTTGTTAGATAGAAAACAATGCATATGCATTATTTGTCTTCAAACTAAAAGAATCACATAAATGTGTATTGCACCTGTACATATGTGTCATAAAAACTTAAAAATCATATATTGAGTCTGTTTACCAATTTGCTGGTTTTTCTTTAGAGTAGCTTCAAATACTTGCTTGTTATTTTCTGTCTATTTAATAAAAAAAAGTTCGAGTTCAAGTTAATAAGTTTAAGACTATTTTACTAATCAACAGAACTACCTATTTATGTATGCGTTTTGTTTACCCATCAAATACTACAAATGACTAAAAAACAATTTTGAAATCATGGATGTCAACGAGTAGTATGCATGGTATTACGAGGATACAGTTACTGGTTACACTGAATAACAAAAACATTATCTGATACTAAAAAATACAACTGTTTCTGAGTAATTTGACGATGTTGATTCTAAAAATCATGATGAAAACTAGTGATCACCTCTAGTTTTCGAGTAATGATGGATTTATTCAAGATATTCTTATACACCGGGAAAATAACTTTTTCTTTAATAACTTTATTTATTCATTCAAAATTGCATTTAAGAATATATAATCTGCTTGCTTTGAGAAGTTTATTTTATGTCCACAGCACGAGCAAAAGGAATTGATGTCTTAGTGTTCTCATTGTGCAAAAGTACAGCTTTCAAACTAACTGTTACGACAGCGGAAGTCATGCGCATTGGAGTTTCTCGAAGGATCATGAAAGCCCGAGTGCATTCGAGACGCCTTCTTTTTAATATATAAGCCTGGCGAGAAAAACTAGCGCGATCGGCAGATGGATTGAAGAGGAAGAGATAGATAATTGAGTCAAGCGAACAGTAGGCACTGTAAGTAAAGTGTGTGAATCACTGTGACAGTGGAAATTCTGTGTATTACTAAAAGTTGTATGGAGAA